GGTTTGTGGTTTGGGGGAACCCTCACCGCTGGGCACAAGCTGCAGGGGTCTGTGTCCTCTTTGATCCCTGCTCAGAGCAGTGGGGATCGGAGGGGACACAGCCAATGAAACACCGGGCTCCCTGCACGGAGGAGAGAGCTAGGGGGGATCCAACCAACTAATCGATAATGATAATCGGTGACAACAATTCTCATTATCGATCATTATTGATTAAAAAAAAAATAACATTGTTTCATTTCTATCTGACAATTATAACAAAAAGGTTCCTATTTGACTCCTTATTAACTTGGGATGCACCGCTATATCGGCCGCCGAAACATATCGGGCGAAAATGGCACTTTTGTCTAAATGCCGAAAGTGCCATTTTCCTGCCAATACGTCGGCGCATCCACGGCCTGACGACAATTTTTTCTATTTCGTTTCGGTTTTTAAATGTCTATTTCCGTGCGCCTCTAGTATTAACCCTTTTGTTTACCCAAACAGCCCTAATTAATGTCCTCTCCCCCTTCTCCCCTCAAACTTCAACAACAAATTGGGAGCAGGCAGGTTGTTGCGGAAGGGACGTTCTCTGTCTCCTCTGCAGTAAATACAAATCCATCTACCTCCCTGATTGGGATCTTCTGTAGAATGTACAATGAGAGGAACATGTGCAGGATTTGGATGGCAGCGCCTCAGATTTGTCACTTCTCCTGCCACGTTCCTCAGCTTCTCCCTTCTGCTGCCTTTTCAGATATTCAAGGACTATCAGTTCCACCCCAGTATCCAGCGCTGGATCATCGGCCAGTGTCTGTGCTCCGACGATCGGACGGTCATGTCTTACGGTATTACGAGAGATGGGGACACCGCGTTCCTCTACCTGCTGGGCGCTAAACAGGCAAAGCTGACGCCACAGGACAAGAATGCCGTCCATCAGGCGCCATCGCAACTGCCGGAGTCGGGCCTCGATGAACCGCGCAAAGCCAATACCCTCCCCATGCTAAAGACAGGTAACTGCTTATTATGGAGTGCAATCACTTCAGTCTCTGCACCAGAGGAGCTGACACTCTAATGTCCCCCCCCGTCACATCAGTCTCTGTACAGAGGAGCTTACACTCTAATGCATGAAGTTGGTCGGACGCCTTTTTAGCCTTTTCTCGGAGACACAATAAGGAAGTGAGGAGTTCTCTGAGGAAATCCCCAGACTTGTACTTTGCCCTCGTCTGTCTCTTGTTTGTCACCATAAACCTGTTTTTCCTGCAGCCGGCAGCTTTGGTGTCGGGCCAATATCCGTGTCTGAGTGTCGGTAAGTCATGTGACACGGGAGAGCTTTGCCCAGATTGCAGTTTAATGAAAGTATTTTGTTTTCCCAGCTCAGAAACTGTGCAAGACGGAGAGTATGGATACAACGGGCCACCCAAACCCGATCTACAATGCACCACCTTCACCTGCCCAGGTACGTGTGTGTGTGTGTGTGT